AATAGCAATATTGGAAAGTGGATTTGATTCTTTCATTTGTGGTAGTGTCTGAATTTACCAAATGAAGAAAGTTTTTCATCACCCAAGTTGCAATTGGACAGAAACTTGGAATCATACAAGTTGTATTGTATGATGAATAAGAATTTTCATCTTTGAAAAATTAAGACTAATTCTTTGATCACATGTATATGTTAGTCAATTGAAGGATTAAGGAATTAGGTACACTGGGTGTGCGCTGGTCAAGGTCCACCACAAAGATTGATTTTTCATGATTTACTAAAGATTAGTAAATATGATTATACTTATAAGTCTGAGTATAATTCTGTAACATTGGAAAGGTTACAATGTATGACAAAACAAATGAGAAGAATCAAATTAGGCAGAAAGATAAAAGTTTCTCACATCTGAAAGGATGGGAGAGTACTTTAGTATCATATTTCATGATCATATTAATGATTAAGATACCATATCACAAATTCATACTCTAAGGACGTCTTAGTGCATTGTTATGGCTAAGAAGAGAGGTCATGAATTGTTGGATTGGTTAAAATCAAGAAGATGAGTCATACTTCGTTCCAAAACAATTCTTAGAGTCATACTCCAAGATTGTAACCTTGAGTGACATAAAGGAAGATTTATTAACACTAGTCAAATGTAAGAGTAAAATGTTTTCTACTCTTGTACATTTGAGATTGGTAAGTTGTGATGTCTTGGATGAGACAAAGACCAACTGAGACCAATTGTGTGAAGTGTTAGTCTTGATAAGAATCTGCACTATCCCTTGAATATTTATTTTGTCAAGGAATGGTTCTTGACCGGGGAAACTTATATGTCAAGGGGACAGTGGGAGCCTTAAAGATCCTGAAAGAGTTTCAAGATTTAATCAAGAGTAAAACCTGTAATTTATCACTAGCACACGACTTAAGGTTTGCAACCTATTGTGTTGACATAATTCTTATTTATGTACCTACTTCAAATAAGTTGAATTTGCATGTGAGTTATCAGAGTTCAACTTGGAAGCATTGGTGGGCCTTGTGCTACCAAGGTGACAAGAAATTAGGATTGAACAAGTTCAATCCATATGAGTTTGAATTTGTCACTAACCTTGTCTTGTGATTATGGTTTTGACAAATTAACATGGATAGGAACTCATACACCATAAAATCTAAATGTCATAAGGTTTCTCTCCGATTCATGAAAATGATGGTGAGGAAACGCTTTCACTAAGTAGATTTTACGTAGATATCAATTGTGTTATTTGGATTTTCAAAGGTCGTTAGTGGAGCGCGTGTGGTTTACCGGCACACTAACATGGACTTGTGAGAAATGGAAACGATCTAAACAATTAAGACTATGATTACGGTATCCCTTTTCATAGTTCTGAAAATTGTTTAGACACACATGTGAGCTATTTAAGAAAGGGTGTATGAATCTAAATTTCAGAAGTCCAACAGATTTCTGGAAATATGTCAAAGCTAGTGGGAGCATAAGTGTTACGCTGATAATCATCATGTTAGTGGGGGATGATTATTACATTTAGTGTTGCAAGTTAGCAATGTTAATTATAGAAAACAAAGTTTCAATTCGTGAAGTTGCAGGGGTTGAAAAGTTGTTTTGCTATAATTAAGGGAGAGGAAATTATACTTCATTTCAATTCTAGAAGCTTAGATTGAGATTTTAATCATCTTTAGTCAAGGACATATATATGAATTTTATGTCTGAATGGTTCGACTTAAGGAAATTCTATATATATTGCGTTCTCAAAATTCAATTATGACTACGGCATCCCTCTTCATAGTTAAATTTTGAAAACATGGCAAAATAAAAAAAATATTGTAGCAAAAGTCTGGTCTAGTATCGTGTCTTTATGTGAGACATCATGAATCGTGTCCCATATGCTTCGGATATAGGATCGATTTCATGTGCTATTATATTCATCTTTTCTAAATTTTCCAAATGTTTAAGGCATTGAGAAGGGAAAAGTCTAGAACTGGATATGACTAAAGTGATTAAGCAATTATCGAGGACAATCTGAGGTTTGCCAAAGATTGGTTGCTCAGGGAAAGTTGGAAGTATGATGTAAGTTGTTAGAAAGGACCATATTGACATGTTCTGAAAAGAAGTAACTCTTGTTCGGAAGTGATAGTCAAAATGGGACTATGAAAATGTCTCCATAGGTGGAAGTTATTCAATCTATGTAAGATTAGAAAACCTTAATGCAAGAAGGATGTTCAAAGCAATGTACTTTGAATATGAGACTTTCGTTCCATAGAAGTTAACCTTCTTTGGAATACTCTGTAATGACTGGTGACAAGGTTTTGATGACTTTGTGAATAATCATTTTGCTGCATAACCAATCCGTGAATGCCAAGGAGTAGAAGGCACTTTGATGCTCAGTGGGAATAAAGATGTTCCAGATCAATTTAGCAAAGTGACACTCACGCAAAACATGTAAACAATCCTAAAAGGTGTCCACATCTAGAACAGCTGCTAGACTCTGAAAAATGACTACAAGAGGAACATTGCATAAAAGTTTAAAATCTAACAGTTTCTTTGGTAAATGATAGGAATCGGGGATTCTCACATTTGCAATAAGGATTTGGGATTGTGAAATGAGTATCATTGGAATCATGTTCAATTGATCTACATCACAATGTAAGGATCATTGACAAACATAGTGTGCATACTTGGAGTATGGCATAACTATTGTTTAGAAAAATAAAGTGTACATGCTAGGAGCATGGGACGACTGTTGTTTTTATTCAAGTCTTAAGTTGATTGTTTGAAACATTATACAATGAATAATGTGTAATCAATATGGTGATAAATTAAAGGTGATTCTATTTATATTCAAAAGGGTTCTGAGACCATATTGGATTCGAATATTATTGTGTTTCACTTTGCATGTTTTGACTTCCAAAATAGCTAGGTTATTGTTTCCGAATGACTAAGTTATTTAAACACTTCACAGTCGTTCATATGTTAGAAGTAGGTATGAATCAAGACTGTCATGAATTGAGTTTGTAGATGGCTAAATGGGTTTAGTCATAGCAATGGTTGCTACAACATTCATGAGTGCTCATAAGTTATGAGTATTGGAATCAACCCACGCTCACTTGTATCACTTCATGGAATTATCTCGAATGATCGTGAGACGGTAATATCATATAAATCTTCAAACCTAGAGATATGAGTTGTTACCTATGAGTTGGTTGTGCATTGATTGCACGTAAACGCATCAGTAACTTGATGTTATAAAACGTGCCTTTGTGTACAATTCAACAAGTAGTAGAACAAGCATATGAGTCGAAGTTCATCTGTTCCTTCTAGAAATAGAAGAGATATCTGTGCCCCTCGATGATTTTGTTGTGATCTATGTACCGGCCGGTCAGAACTAAATTGATGTGTTCGATTAAGTTCTTTGTCAAACAAATCGAAAATCGGGAAACAAACTGCTGGACAATAAGTACGACGTTGTTCCATGTATTTTTCCGGCTGATATCATGAGAACAGAGGATTATATGATCACTTATCTAAAATGGCGCTTCATAGTTCAACAGAGTTTTCGAGAGCTACGATTGCTGGTTGGTTCCTGAAGTAACATATGCAAATATAGTTATTAGACTTATCCAAGTGGGAGTCTGTTGGATAATGTGTCTAAGTCCATAACTTATTTGGTACATAATTGACCCGACCCGGCATGGTCCATTTGGGTTGCATTTCATCCAAACGATTTATGGATAATTTTATGAGAATTGTATACTTACGATTTATTAATATATTATAAGTTATAACATATTAATATGAAGTCATGTTATTTAATTAGTTTTAGTCTTAAATTAATTATGAATTAATTTAGAGATTAAAAAGAAGACTGATTAAATCATGGGCTATTATATTTTATATAGTGTGAGCTAATACTCATTTGTTAATGGGCTAAGCTAATATGGAAGTCCATGGATGATCCATGGAGCTTTTAACCTATGGATCCTTGGAAAGGAAAAGTCATGGGTTATTAGGGTTTCACCCTAACCATGCACACTATATAAAGAAGCATATGATGCAAGAAATGAGACTTTAGTTGTGTGAGACTTAGTGGTGGCCGATTCCACAAGAAAGTATACTACTCTCTCAAAGTTTTCGCACTACAAGAAAAATACCCTTTAATGACGTGCAAACAATGACACTCGCTGATTGATGATACAGATTTTTGTGTGACCTTAAAAATAATGTCAACCTTCCAAAATTTGAAAGATAGAGAACACGCATTTTTGCGTGCCTTAAAATTAATGTCCAAAAAAAAAACACGGAGGGCACTTGTTTTAAATGCGTGTCTTCTAAAAATGTCGCTTTTTATTTTTTATCAAACACGCGTTTTTAAGGGGAAAAAATGAAATCCTCTCAAATTCTAAAATTTTGAAGTGCCCGCTTCTTCTATCTCTCCGTATCTCCCTTCATTCACTCATTCCTAGGGCTTTTTCAAGAACCATTCTACCTAGGGCTTTTTCAAGGAAGTTCAAAATGCTCTCCGATTCTCGATCGGTTCTCCCATGCCTCTGCAACAATCGACGATCTCACTTCACGATTACTTCTTCTCCGGTGAGCATAGGATCACCTCCCAGCGTCCATCCTCCTCGTCATAAAATCATCCAACTAGGGATTTTGTTTCTCGATATCTTCAGGTCCGTCCTCCCAAAATAAGGAAGAAACTAGTTTGATTTCTCCCCTAAAACCTGGTACGACTTCTCCTAATTCCAACTTCACTCTTCACTTTTAGGTTATCGGCTCAAAAACTTCTCCCTGAAACCTGGTTTGATTTCTCCAACATTCCAACGAACCTGTTTTTCAAAAAGAAACCCATATGGGAGTTTGTTTTCTCCCTTATCCCCATGTCAGAGTTCAATTTCTGCCATATCCTCATAATTTCTAATTAGCGCTTTTGAACCATTCACATGTTGAAGTTCAGAAATCAGAGGTTCAAGGTAAAATTGGTGCTACATATTGATTGCTTTGTATTTTTCAAAAGGGAACAATGAGAAAGATCCAATGAAGATGACTACATACCACGGTAAGTAGAAAATATTAAAGATAACGTTTCTCGTTTTACCAACTTTTCTTTCTGTTTAAAGCCAATGTTCATGTATGCATCTGAAGTAAGCTCTTTCCCAGGTAGGCTAATCACCATTTGCACAAAATCAGTCACCCCTAACTCTTGCAAGAATTTTCTCCATTTTGATTTTGCTCCATTTAAGGATTTGGAACTCGGGTGCTTCAGATAGTTGTTATCAATCTCAAACCACTACATATCAATGCCAGGAATTAACTTCCTCATATCAATTGGGTTCCCGAATTCTTTACTGAAATGAATTGGCATGTCGAAAAGTCGTTTGTACCCCTGGTTTGTGGAGATAAAAGCAGTGTCACGCACCTGTGAGAGTAGATTCTCTCTTTCTGGAAATACAGTTAGAGCAAGCTGATTCAAAATGGAACATTATAAAAGAAAGATATTCAGTCATTAACTCTTTACTTTCTGAAACAACTTTTTCATTTGTAATAGCTGGCAAGATGTGAGCTTTTAAAACTTCATGTGCAGATAACCGTTGAACACCCACTTTGTAAAGCATTTGAGTTATGTTTTCAACATGTGTAGAATCATTAAGAAGGGCATAATTGACAATTTGAAGTTTGGGGTACAAGTTCCTGAAAGCTTCAAGACCATGTTTACTATCAACTCTATCAGTATGGAAGCATATTGCACCTTCTTGAATTGATGAATTGATTATGAATTGAATGAATTGATTGTTATGATAGTTACAAATCAACCAATCTATGATATTCTGCAACTCTGCAAACTGAGTAGAGCTATTAGCAAAGAAGATAACAGAGCTTGGATATTCTTGCTTATATATATATATATATATATATATATATATATATATATATATATATATATATATATATATATATATATATATATATATATAATAATTAAAAAAAACTCAAATTATAAAATATTATTTACCCTAATATACCCTAATCATGAAATTGTTATCAGATTTGTTTACAAGGGGTATAGATATTCAAGCCGTGAATGTTGTAATCAATTTTGACTTTCCAAGGAACGCCGAGACGTATTTGCATAGGGTAAACTAAAAATATTTTATTATTTTATTATTTTTTTTGAAAATGAAAAATTATTATATTGTTTATTTGTAGGTGGGGATGTTCGGGAAGGTTTGGACATCTGGGGTTAGCTGTGAATCTGATAACTTATGAAGATCGGCTTAACTTGTATGTATTTTCTTTCATATTTTTAAGTTAGATGTTAAATGTTAAATGTTAAATGTTAAATGGATGCTAATATAATGTGTGGTTTTGTGGAAATTTTACAGGTATATGATTGAACAAGAGCTTGGAACTGAGATAAAATAGATTCCTCCCCAAATTGATCAAGCCATTTACTGTTTGTGATTGATTTTGGTGAGACAAAATGAAACAAAAGTAGGAGACATTTTCTATTTATGTTTCTGTTTTTAGTTTAGATTTTGTTATATCATATGCTAGATGTGTAATTAACTGATTCTCGAGGATAGCTTCTAGTTCGTGCTCCATATCTTGAAAAAAAAAAGGAAAAAAACAGATAAAAGGTACTAAGAACTATTGAAGGATAATCATTTACAAGTTTGGTACTAATTACTAAATTTTATGTAAAAATAAATAATAAAATAAAAATAAACAAACTTACGGGATGTCGGGGATCAGCAAGCATGGGGAAAAGACCTATGACAATAAGTGATTGCCTTTATTCAAATGTTCGGGAAGCCCGTGTATCCAAGATTACCTGAAGTTCGCATGCTGGACTTTCATGCCCTTATGACAAGTGATGGAAGTAATGTACAAGTAAAGTTCTTAGAGCTTTTGGATTCTGTAATAGCAATGGCAAAATCGACATTTACCAAGTTGTTTGCCCAGATAATGTTGGCTTACGGAAGTGGGAATCTGAATTAGGGTGGTGGTGGACTTGTTGCAGACCTTGTGGAAAGAAATGCAGAGGTGACTGGAGAGCTTCAGGGGTGAAGCTCTGATGCATAAAGCTTATGCAGCACGTCTTATGGGTGGAGAAGCTTCTGCTCCTGCTGCTACATAATCTGTTCTTAGATTCATGGTGGATTTAGCCAAAATGTGTCCCGCTTTTTCTGTTGTATGTAGACGAGCTGAATTCATTGAGAGCTGTGTTGATCTTTATTTCTCCTGTGTCAGGTCATATACTTTATCTCTCACTGAATTAGATTTAGCTCCAGACTTTAGATGGTCCCCACAAATCCCAAACATTTCAAACACAATTTTCACAGTCCATCCGAAGCTGCTTCTTGATGTGGATGATTTCGGTTATGGTTCTGTTGGAGCAATAGCTGTGCTAGACTTCATTTCAGAAGTTCTTTCTGATTTTGTATCTGAAATTCACCATGTCCTGTTTCCTTCCTTCTTTCTTGATCTCAGTTGGAGAAGATGAGTTTGTTTAGCCAAGGTACTTATCTTTTCCTGTATGTATGGATAAAATGGCTGAATGGTTAAATTCTTAATTCAAAAATAAACAGCTCTTAATGTTTTTTATATAATGGTTCTCTTTTTATTTTTATATATAGATGGTTCATGAGGAGTTTGGTATCATTGAAGGTTTGATGACAACTGTACATGCAACCACAAGTGTTGACATTTATTCAAACCTTCATTTTTCATTCTCTTTATATATAAAAATTTTCATTTAAAATTATTAAATTGCTGTTTTTTTTTTATTTGTTTTCAGCTACACAAAAAACGGTTGATGGACCTTCAACGAAGGATTGGTGTGGAGGATGTGGCGCTGCACAAAACATCATCCCTAGTTCCACTGGTGCTGCCAAGGTATATATTATTCTTATATAAAATGAAAATGTAAATTTATATATTCTTTTTTATAAATCTTTTTAGATTTTATAACAAAAAAAAATTTGGCTGTGGGAAAGGTCAATTACATATGGAAATGAAAGCCGAAAGTGTTGATACTCTTGCATCCCGTTTTAACGCCACATCTGGTTAACTGCAGCTGAGTCGCCTCTTCAAACTTTGAAGCTATCTTGGATCGAAGGTTGGGCATTTATTGCATTTGTAACCTTAGGGTGTCTGCAATAGAAATGTTTGAGGTATATTCACTGATGTTTTTTTTCATTAAAAATTTAGACCATTGTTATGGTTGTCAATCTCAAACTCGTTCTTATTTAATATTTTTTTTTAGGGCCTTCCTCCAAGATCAAATGTGATGATGCAGATTATATTGCAGCATGGGACCATATACTGATCCCTGTTGCAAGAGAATTTAAATGTTTACGTACTCCATGATCATGGCTACCAATTTGGAGTCTTGTTACCATATGTGTCAACTTACACATCCTCTTTTAAAAGCTTCTGGAACTGGAAACATTGTTTTGATTTCATCTGTTGCAGGTCTTGTTCACGTTTCTGTTGGGTTTGTTTATAGTGTCACCAAAGGTATGGTTAGTTTAGCTCCATATTTTATATCTGATTTCATCTGGAAACAACTAGCTGTTGTATCTATTCATCCATAGTAGTTCAGGTACTATGGATGAATTATGTTTGTAAAGTATTTAAGAAAATGATTAGAAACAAGGGTGAATTTGTACAACTTAATTAGCTACTTGCAGGTTGATCTTGAATAAGAAAAGGGCAATGGATTGTATTTTTTGTATCTAATTTGTTTGTAAATTTTTGTTACAACTTCTATTAATTTGTTTTATCTTTCCATGGAACGATTATTTGTATAACATTAAATTTAAGCAATGGATTCTATTTTTTGTATATGATATTGTATTTTCTATTATGAAACATTAAATACAAATTTAATTTGAAAATAAGTAAATCTATAAATAATATTTTTTTTAACATTTAAAATTATGATACGCAAAAATGTGTGTCGTCTTCATTTATGACATGACCTTTCTTGACAGGGGCTTTCTTGATACGCATTGCGTGTCATTAACACGCGTGTTGTAAGGTTACGACATGCGAATGCGTGTCGTTTTCCTTTATGACAGGGCCTTCCTTGATACGCATTGTGTGTCGTAAACGTGCGTCGTAAATGAGCGTTGTGAATGCGCGTCGTCTCTCTTTATGACAGGGCCTTCCTTGACGCGCATTTGCGCGTCGTCTGAGGCTTTTACGACGCGCAATGAGCGTCGTAAAAGGCTGTTTTTCTAGTAGTGTTCCAAATGTTTGTGGTGATTTGTGATTCCATTTGAGGCATTCACACTATTGGTGCTTGGCTCTCAAACTCCAAACAATCAACCATCATCAAAAGGTATGTATTTCTACTAGTAGTTTTATGATTCATAATCCTTATGCTATGCTAGTTACGAACAAACCTTGGAAATCATTATTTGCATGTATTTTAGAAGAAAACATAGATCCAAGGGATTGCTCAAAACCCAACATAAACACCTATCATAAGGGACCTATCATAAGCATCATCATCGGGGTGGATATTACTGCTAAGGGGGTTCCTCAGCAATAAATGTCCTAAAAGCAACCATGAGGGGGATGGAGTACACCGATGAACATATCGTTCACAACACCTACAGGTTGCGAGCCTGCTAGCGTTCCACTAGACTGTCTAGAAGAGTCCGTGGTCGTCATCTATACTCCGCTAGATGACTGCATCAACAACAACAACATCAAGGCCTCTCATCATTTTATCACACATCGTCTTATTACATTTAACCATGTTTTACCTCAACATTTTTATAGATATAAATACATATACAGTTTAAATCATTTAAAATTTGTATAAAAACATTCATCCAGCATAGATAACAAGTATACATATAATATGCACACATATCACGTAATATATAAAATACTTCATATCTATGTGTAAGATGAAAGTAACTATGCACTAACTTGAAAAGGTGGTGATTCCGAACTGGAACAGCGCATCGCTTCTTAAAAATAATTTCCTTCGACGAAACCTAGTATTATTACCACTAGAGTTTAGTCTATTATTCGCCGAGACTAATTAATAGTCTAGCTATTATTACTATTATACAAGCGTTAAAAAAATACTTATATAACCCATAATAATAGCCCAAGTATTTATTATAAGTTTCTAATAACGTTACTATAATTAAATAAAAGTTATATTAAAAATAACGTAGGCGTAGCTCACTTACAGCGGGTTTTATAGAAAACCAGGCTTTGCTTGGAGCAGCGTTACCGAGCCAAAAGCTCTTCTTCTCGGAGCCGTCAAGCACTCCGGGGCTTCCACCTCGTGCTAGGGAGGTTCCCTAGGCTTTTCGGGGGATTTCGGGGCTAGAGAGAGGTTCTAGAGAGAGAGAGAGAGTAAAGAGAATAAAGAATGAGAAATGTGTGAAGAAAATGAGGGTGGGAGAGGTGATATTTATAGGGTGAAATGTGGCTGAAATTGGTGCCACATGTCACCATCTAGTGGCAAGCCTTGGGGAGAAAGCAATGGCCAAGATTGTGCCACATCACCCATTTTCACACAGTACACTTCCGACTTCTAAAACCCGTAACTTTCACATACGAGCTTCGTTTCCAACGTTCTTTATATCCACGCGTAGGTAAAAATAAGATCTACAACTTTCATTTTGACTCCATCGGCTAATTATCGACCAAAATTTAACAGTACGAGGAGATTATATTGTTAAATGTCCGCGTAAAATTCATAACTTCTACATACGGACTCTGTTTCCGTCTGTCTTTTTACTGTTGAATTCCTATTAATAAGATCTTCAATTCTCATTTAGGTTGCGTAGGCCAAAAACCGCTCGATCTAAAATTCGAGTTTCGGGTTGTATACTGCTAAGCCGAAACTTCGAAAAATCATAACTTCCTCATACGAAGTCAGATTTGAGCGTTCTTTTTATAGATGCTCTCGGTTTAACGTATTCTACGATTTTCATTTAGATTTCTAAGGCTAAAAGTCGCTCTATCGTAAGTTCACTATTTACACTTTCCGGTGTCGTGCCGGTTCCGTCGTGAAACTTCGACAAGTCATAACTTCTTCGTTATAACTCGGATTTAGGTGTTCTTTATATCCCCGAAATTCTTGTTTTGACCACTACAACTTTATGTAGAGATATCGGGCTTATGTCACACTTTAATTTTGATGCTTATTTTTATTCTTTATTAATTATACATTTATAATTAAATAATAAGCACATAAATACACATAATTCACATAATACTCAAATATTTCATCTTTATTACTTCAAAAAGAGTTACAATAACTGACCTAGACTATTACATTGTCAAAAATGCTTAGCCCCGAAAACCGGGCGTTACAAGGTGTCACCTTGGAAAGGTGTCATCCGATTCAGGAAGCGGGGCAAGTTGGGCCCCAGGTACATTAGGCCTTTCAGGGTTGCAGCCCGGGTAGGCAAGGTAGTGTAAAGGTTGGATCTAGTAGCCAAGATTAGCCAGATCCATAACACCTTTCACGTCTCTTAGCTACGGAAGTGTCTGGTAGATGACTCAGTAGAAGTACCACTAGAGGACATTCAGGTGGATGACAGCCTAAACTACATTGAGCGACTAGTGGCTATCCTCGAAAGGAAGTCGAAGAATCTGAGGAACAAGAGGGTCGAGCTGGTGAAGGTGCAATGACAACACCGCAAGGGCACATAATGAACTTGTGAGCCGGAGGATGGGATGAGAGAGCACTAACCCCCAACTTTTCCTAACAGAATTCGAGGACGAAGTCTGAAATAAGTGGGGGAGAGTTGTAACACCCGGTTCCTGATACGTAATTTAATTATAAATTTTTCACTTTTGTTTTGGGACTCGGTGAGTTGGAGGCCCCAACTCGTCGAGTAGAGGTTAAATTGGGATGCGAGAAGGAGAACCTACTCGCCGAGTCGGAGGCCCTAACTCGATGAGTAGGCCTGTCTGGTGGAAATCCTAATATTTAGGGTTTGCACCCTATTTAAATGCCTTATCTTGCCCCAACTCAGCCTCCATCATCACTCTTAGTCTAAAAAGGCCCTAAATCGAAACCCTAACCTTATTTGTGTGTTATTGAGCCATTTTTGTGTGTTTATGGTGGTTGTGAAGCTTGGTAAAGAAGAAGGAGCTTGCGAGTTCAAGTGGAAGTGAGTACATCTAGAGGTTAAGTCCCATTTCCAACATATTGGAGGTAAAAATCTCCTACCTTGACCATCTATCTCTTAGATCTCTAGTTAGGGTTTATTTCCACCTTTTCTAAGCTCTTATAGAGTTATACCCATGATTTTGTGGTTATAAAGGAGAATGACTTTAGATCTGGAACCATAGAGGGTTCTTATGGCATAAAAGTGCCAACTTTATGCCATAAGCACCCAATGTATCTTGTAGACTCCATTTTAGGGCCATTTAAGCCAAATACCCTATGCATGGATGTAAAGTTTGGAACTTTACGTGTATTATGGACCTTAGGAGGTCAAATCTATAATTTGAATGCAT